TGGAGCCAGGAACCTCCTTTGGGTCTCCCACATGGGTGGAGGGTCCCAAGGTTTTGGGGCATCTTCCACTGCTTTCCCAGGCCACAAGCAGGGAGCTGGATGGGAAGTGGGGCTGCCAGGATTACCTGAACCAGCACCCATATGGGATGCCGGCGTGTTCACTACTTTGGCTACTAGGCCATGGAGCTGGGCCCTGTTTCTCTTTCTCTTTGTGGATCTGACTTTATTGTAAAAACTAAATCTTTTTTTTTTTTTACATTTTATTATTATTGCTATCATTTTATGATACAGTTCCATAGTCCCTTATCCCCTCCCAAAATCCCTCCCCCCCCAGTTCCTTTATTTCATTACTAATATAGTTCTTCATACTCAGTCATATGTCCATCATTGCGGGCATAGACAATGGCAGAGAGTCCAGAATCCTATTGTCAAGATATAGTAAACAGTTTCATTGTAAGTCCATCTTTGATCTGGAAGTAGAAATGCATACCACACTGCATCCTCGCATCTGGATGTTAGTCTCCATTTCACAGCTACAGGATATCCACTCAAATGAAAAGTCATGGTACAAAGTCAACAGTAGAAAGAAAAATAAAAATTTACAATGCAATGAAGTTAAATGACATGTTACTAGATATGACAGTTTCCATTACACAGCTACTATACACCCCCTTAAATGAAGAGCCAGAAAACAAACTAAATCTTAAAAAAAAAAAAAAAAAGACAAGACCGCTTTTTAAGAAATTGAGTACTCATTGGAGCTAGAAATACATTTTTTCTTACAAGTTTATGGTCTAGTTGACTCAATCCAGAGTGAGATCCCATCTCCCTGAGACCGCTTCCCTCCCTGGACACTTGATGACTCGGCAGTCCTGGAGCGCCATCTGACCTTGAACGGGCCTGGGTGATCTCCAGTGCCTCGGTCTGCACACATCTGGGCCTCACTCGCTCGGCTCTGCCACCTCTCAGGAGAAAACTGTCCCCTTTGAGATGAGTTTGTATTTTGAGGATTGGTTTGATTTGCTATTTTGAAGTGAGTGTGTATGTGTGTAAACTTTTTGTATACGTAACCCAGGCTAACATAATGATAAAAATGGGCGAAAAAAAAAAAAAAGAGAAGACCAAATTACTACCTGTTGATATTAACCCTAAATGTAAATGGCTTAAACTAATCAATCAAATGCTATAGATTAGCAGATTGGATCAAAAATCAAAGCCTATCTCTCTTTTGCCTGCAGGAGACACAGCTCACCAACAGTGATATGCAGAAACTGAAAGTGAAAAGATGGAAAAAGATATTCCAGGCTGCTGGAAAAGAAAGACAAGTTGGTGTAGCTATCTTATTTCAGATAATATAGACTTTGATGTGAAAAATATTAAAAGAGATGAAGAGGATACCACATAATAAAGGATCCACTCAGCAAAAAAGAAGTCACCTTACTAGTTTCTTAGGAGCTTTTCTTTTCCATCTCTAATTTTACTTGATTTCTCCTCTCTTGCGTTTCTTTGCTGGTCTGGCTAAAAGCTTGTTTTGCTCATCTTCTTTAAAAATGGCTTTCTTGTTGCAATTTGTAGTTTTTTAGTTTTAATTCAATTTATTTTTGCTGAGATTTTAATAATTTCTTGCTTTCTGTTCATTTTTTCTTTACTGGAAGTCCTTGAATGCATTATTATTTGAGATATTTTGATTTTTTGTAAGCACCAAATGTTACAGATGTTTCTTTCAAAACTATTTTTGTTACATCTTATGAGTTCTCGAATTTTTGTTTTTAATTTCTTCAAAAAAGTTTTTTCTTATTTCTCAGTGACACATAGATTAAATAGCATTATTTTCTTCAGGAAGGTTTTTGATTCTCTTTCATTTCTTCAGTGACACATTGATCATTCAGTAGCATGTTGCTGTCAATTTTCTATTTTTCTTCCCGTTGCTGATTTTGTTTTACGGTTTTTCATGTAAGGGGATGTATAGTACCTGTGTGATGGAGACTATCATATCCAGATGTGAGGATACAATGCAGTATGCATCTCTACTTCCAGACAAAGATGGACTCCCAACGAAACTGTTAAGATATGTTTTTAAAAGGCGAAAGATTTATACGATCTGAAGAGAAACCAGAGTATGATATATTTGACAATAGATGCTGGGTTCTCTGCCATTGTCCACGCCCATAATGTCAAGATACTCTTAAATAGCAGAATGATAGATTTTTCACAGATTATGAATGACTATACTATTGTAATAATATAGGGAAAGTCAGTGGGGGGGAAAGATGTAGGGAAGGGGAAATCCCATAGCCTATGGAACTGAATCATAAAATTTAAAAATTTTGTGTATTTTACTGTGTACAGATTTCAGTTTAAAGCGATCATAAACAAATGCAACACTCTAGTTAGTACACATTGAAGTATGTAGATGTTGGTAAGTTTGAAATGCATCACCTAAATTAGAAGGACTGATGGATGGATACAGGATAAAGTGAATGATGTAAATTGTTGCGGAACCTGGTCGATGGGAACATGAGTGTTCACTGTACAATGTTTACAGCCGTTCTGTGCAGATTTTGGATGGCACATTTTAAAGAAGTAGTAACAGCAACAGTAGTTTCTTCAGCACTCCCCCACTATCTAGAAATAAGTTTGCTGATGCAGCCTGTCAGTCCCAGACCAGCAGGTTCCTATCTCTCCAGCATGTGAAAAGGCTGGTAGGTGTATTCCTAATGCCTTGGCTGTGCCGCTGTGTACGATGCTTTCTTTTTCTCTACCCATTCGAATTCTGACTCCTCCTGAAGCAGGTGCCTAGTGCCCACCTCTTTAGATACACTGAAGGGCCCTGCCCTCTCCTCTAAGGCCCTCAGCCCCTTGCCCTGCCTCCTTCTCTTCAGAACTGCTGCCACTTCTATGCAGTGCGTGTGCTTCGTACTCTGTCCCAGCAGAAGACTTTGTCTTGTTCACACCTTTCATTCTGGCCTTCCCGAAGGCAGGCATCTCCCCTCCACCCCCGCCTGTGCATCCCCCTTCCTCACAGCCCTGATCAAAGTCTCCTGAGAGAGAGAGAGAGAGAGAGAGACAGAGAGAGAGAGAGAATGAGCATGAGCATGCAAGCACACATTTTTTTGTCCCTTCTCCATACTGCGTCTTTGAAGAAAACATTTTCCTCTGATTTTAACTGTCCTTGAGTTCAGTCTGAAAATAATCTGGGCCCTCTTGTGAGCTCAGTGTGCACCTTTAGAACTCAGTGCTGAAACATAATCTCCAGTGTAATGTCTTTGGAGGCAGGGTCTTTGGAGGGAATTAGGGGTAAATGAGGCTATGAGAATGGGGTCCTCATAGGGTTAGTGCCTTTAAACAGAAGCACCTGAGCAATCTCTTTAGCCCTTTTTCCATACTCCGTGTTTACAACTCGCCAAGAAATAGGATGTTCTAGATGTGAAAACTGTAGCACCCACTGGTGTGGGTTGCACCAGGCTAGGCTACTTCACCTGCTGGTTCACATGAGAACCAAGGATGGGAGAAGACTGAGTATGGATAGGCTGCAGCACCCACTGGTGACAGTTGAGATTGGGGGTGGGCTGGCCCAGGCTAGGCTGCAGCATCCACTGACAAGTGCTGAGACGTACAGGGGTGGGGCGTGGGGCAGGCCATGCCAGACTGGGTTGGAGCACCACCAGCACACTTAAGATCTGGGCTGGGCGCAGGCCTGGCAGGGAAACTGTGGGCACTCCCATTGGGCTGCTGCTCCCACTGGTGAGCATGAGAGCTAGCACTGGGCTGGATAAGGACTCAGCACCCATCAGCATGTGTCTGTGCTGGGTCTGCAGGTAGGTCAGGCTAAGCTAGGCTGCAGCACCCATGGGTATGTATGAAATCCAGATGGGATATGGAATAGGCTGAACTAGGTTGCTGCACATGCTGATACACACAGGAATGGGAGCTAGGGGCAGGTCTGGTGGGGGTTACTGGGGGTTGCCCTGGCTAGCCTGCAGTTCCCATTGGTGTGCATAAGGGCCGGGTTTGTGGCAGACTGGATTAAAAACTACAGAGCCCAAAGTTGCCATCCTGTTATTCCTCTGGTTGCACACATGCACAGCTTCCCGCATTACCACCACCAGCCTTGGATGATGACTTTGTAGTCTGTGAACTGACACTTCATAAAACCCCAAGGGGTGACTCTCTCCAGTGAAGGAAGTTCAGAGCTGTTTGGCTGCTGTTAGCACCCTAGGGCACTTTCCCCAAGATTACAGTTTTTCTCCAGAGTAAGTGGTAGGCCTTGGGAAGAGAAAGGTGACATAAGGAACAGACTTGAAGTTGATCGATGTCCTGAAATGATGCCAGTTGCTTGTTGGAACCTGAGTGTGTGTGTTGAGCACTTTGCAGTTTAACCACGTGTCTAGGCTGATAGGACGAGCACCGTGATTAAGGTACAAATCAGCTCTGGCATCGCAAGGACTTTTCTTGTTGCCTGTGATGACTGCAGCCAACCTCCCCCGACTCCCCACTCCCAGTCACCATTCCTCTGTTCTCCACCTCTGATCTTTCAAAGCATTTTGGATTTCCAATTAGTGGATGCACAATTGTGAGCCCAACTGTGTGTTCCCACCATTATTGAGGCAGGAGATAAAGGGAATCCTAAATGGTGTCATTTGGAACCAGACTTTCCTAGCTGTGTCATACCTCTGTCAGCTGCCATCAAGCTCCTTTACTGCCAGCCTCTGGGGATGCAAAGAGCAGCTACCCTGTGGAATGACCAAAAGACAGGAGGGAATGCTGAGCCCCCAGATCCCAGGTGTAGCATGTGCTGTGAGCATGGTAGCTGCCACTGAGTGAAACTTCATCAGGAAGCCTGGGCTTTGCAGGGGCATGTGTGGGGAGGCTGGCCTTGCCGCAGCCTCACAGAAGCCCATGGGAGGTGACCTGGGTGGTATGTCACAGCGGTGCTATTGGGCTTATCACTGTGCTGAGTAGTCACTGTAAATGTTCAATGCGTTGTGTCCTTTCTCCAGGTGATGGTGGCTACGGCAGCAGTGATGACCCTGGATCTGGTAGGTGGTCCAACCTGAGATTTCTCTTGGAAAGTGACAGGAGCAGGGACACGGGCCGACTCTGTTCTCAGAGGAGGCTCCCTGTTTGGAGAATGAGCAGCAAGGCCCATGGCAGCGGGGTGTGGTGTCTGCAGCAACTATCCGGAAGATCCTGGTCCTGAGGGAGGAGAGGGGATTGTACCGAATTCCTGTGCCCCATTCACACAGGTCAGAACAGAAGTCCTTCTGCAAGATGAGAACCCCTCTGCCAGTTCAGAACACGGTGTCCTTGCCTTGGATGTGGGGCCTTCTTGTAGCAGCTCAGTGTTGTGGGCGTCTGAAGCAGCTAGGCCAGCTGCTGCGGGAGAAGCAGCTCCTGAGCAGAGCTGCGTGACTCTCCCCCTTTCTCCCCCTCTTCTCTGCACAGGCATGTCAGTGGAGACAGGCACCATCGCCGGTGTGGCCAGTGCGCTGGCCATGGCTCTCATCGGTGCTGTGTCCAGCTACATCTCCTACCAGCAGAAGAAGTTCTGCTTCAGCATTCAGCGTAAGTGCAGCCACTTGTCCCCCAAGCTTCTCCAGGAGAGCCTGCCACAGAAAGGGGTGGGCAAGACTTGGGCTCCTTCCCAGCCTGCTAGAGATGGGGAGCCCCTCATGAGGGAGACTTCCTGTGTCCTGGGGGGCGGGGGAGGAATGGGCATGGCTTGCCATTTTGGAACTCTTGGGGAAGAGTTAGGCTGAACTCAGAGCAGAAGGACCTTGGATAGGGAGTGCGCTGGGCTCGGTGACCTTGGTCTGGCTCCAAGCTCCCGGGCTCAGATTTCTTCGGGACCAGTGACTAAGACGGGTCCTGGACAGGCCCGGGAGCATGGATCTCCCAAGGGGCCATGGGGCCTTCGACGATGCTGGCTGGCCCAAGGCTCTTGCATTTTAGCTGTGTCACCTTGCAGAGCCCGAGAGGTCACTCTGGGTACCCCAGCCCCTCCCCCAGTGAGCCAGGAAATGGAGACAGAACAGGGTCGTTCTTGCCTTGAACACTTTAAAAATGTGGATCACCTTCACCTCGTGATATACCTGTTAGCCTAGAAGCTGTGGAGACATTGAATGGTTTTTGGTGGCATCCCGCCCGAGAAGCCCACTGGTGCCCCTTGTCACGGAGCCCTTTGGGGTGACTGTGGAGGGCAGCAGCCGGCCCAGCTTGTCACTGTCGTAAGCACCTTGTTGGCATGTCACTGTTTCCTGAGTCAGGTGTGTCCCTGGTTCAAGGCTGGCAGCTCTTTTGTTGAAGTAGCATGCTGTGGTCCCGCCCTGGTTTTCCTCTTCCCTCTCCTTGCTCCACGTGGCTCAGCTGCCCTGGGCGTCTGCCTCTGCCCTTGGCCTCTGCTGAGCTGCCCTGGCGCTCTGTCACTGGTGCCGAGGACTGTCTCTTCATTGGGCTGAGCGCCTCAGCGCTGTCTGTGAAATGGGACACAGGGCACGGGAAAAGAAATGATCTTCAGACTCGCTTCCTGAAGCAAACAGAGGTGAGGCTTTGCAAGGTGCTCAGCAGGCAGAGGGGGCAGCTTGGCCTTAATTTCCCGGAGTCTGTGGCCCCAACCTTGAGTCAATGTGTTGTGTCATCTGGGGACTTGTGGGACCTGTGAAGGTGCCCTCCTGAGCCCTGCCTCTCTGTGACCACTGCCATGGCCCCTATCTGTCCAGGCCCTGGATGGTCTCTTCACATCTGAATGGTTTGTGCTACTTGCTGCCTGCCTCAGTTTCCCTCACACCACACCCTCTTCCAGTAGGAGCTATGTCAAAGGGCCCAGAGGCCATGATTCCTGCTGCTCGGGCCCCACCTTGCCCCTGGAATTCACAGGCTGTGTGGTTAGGCTCTGAGCACGTCTGTAGCCCTCTGTGCAGCCACCAGTGCTGCTGCAAAGGTGCCCTGTGGCACACAGCCTTTGCTGATGTCCCTCCTGCTCCTGCCCTCACCCTCCTGGCTGGCGTCCCCTGTGTGTGCTGCCATAGCGCCCCCTGCTGGCCTCATCCGCAGCCCCAGGCAGCCATTGGCCACCACCAGCTCTGTATGGGGCTCCTGCCCCTCCCTGCTCCCAAAGCGCTTCTCAGTATGGGACCCTAAAGGCTGTGTGCCTTGGCACCTAGCCTGTGCCTGAGTCGGGAGGAATACCTTGCGTGCCTCTGCACTCCGGACGTTATCCCATCTTTCCCCAGAGCCTCTGCCTGGAGGAGGCCTCAGCCACTGAAGCTGCATGGCTGTCTAGGAAGCCAGACCCAGAAGCGCCAGAAGGTGACAGGTGATGACAGGACTGCCCGTCTCTGACACCCTGGCCCTCTGGTGCTCTCAGCCTCTGCTGTGGTCAAAGGGGCACGCACCTCAGGGACCCTTAGCCTCATCTGTCTGCCTTTAGTGCCAAGAGTCAGGCAGGGCCTCTCTTGGGAAACCCGTGGTATTTGTTGCCAGTGGCCAAGATCTTGCTCTGGGGTTCTAAGCTCTGTGTCTTGCCTTCAGATGCAGCGGAAGGTCAAGGTAACAGCGTGCTTTGATTTATTCATCTTCCTCGTGCTTCTGCCTCCACATTCACCTCATTCTGTACCCATGCCCCACCCCCTTGCTGCTCTCCTCACCACTCTTCATGCCCCTTCCTTCGCCTGGCCCTGGCCAACATGGCTGCAACCACAACCATCTGAGGTTTTCCCCACTGCCACTGCCTGTGTGAGGACAGGGTGTTCCAGTCCTGTGCCAGGCCACAGGTGACTGGTGTCCAGGATGCATGAGGTAGGGGCCTGTGATGGAGGCTCAGGCACCCCTGGTGGTCATCCCTGAGGCACACCCAGAGGACTACCTATAGGAAGAAGGCGGAGTGGTGCACACCCAGCGGGCAGTGGGGCGGTGCTGCATCTTCTGGCTCCCACACATGAGCTTCCAACTTCCATCATCTGCCTTGCCCCTTGGCAGCCACCCCTGCCAAGAAGCAATACCAGCACTTTTTTTCACAGGTGACTCTGGCTTCCCCCTTATGTCCAGCAGCCACCAAAACAGCAGGTGGTATTCAGGGGCCTGTAACCCAGGACAGTGGAGTGCTTCAGTTTGGTGGTCAGGTCCATTGGGACTGGCAGTCAAGTCCACTGGGACTATGGCCTGGTTTGTTCAGAGGCTCAGGGCCATGTGTTGCCAGGCTCTGTAGGGTGAGCTCCATGACTCCTCTCTGATGAGTGGCAGCGTTGGGGTCCAGTCCACGTCCTTGGATGACAGTCCCTATCAGGGTCAGCATGAAGGCACTCTGCTCTCCAAAGCCATCCTGGAAATGGGTGGGGACGGAGCCTGTATACAGAGCTTAAGCAGTGGGCCTCTGATGGGGCTGCTGGGAAACAGGTGGCTGGATTGGCATCTCCAGTGAGTCCTGCGCAGCCACTTGCTCCTCTGTCACCTGCATCCATTAGTGCCTCATGCAGCTCCTGGCTCCCTCTGCCTCCCTGAGCCACCCGTGGGCTCATGGATGGCACTGAATGGTGCCACTGGGGGTTCCTGCTGCCACTAGCTGTCACCCTGGTGGCTGCTTCAGGGGCTGAGGATGTGGGGCCCCTTGCTGCATGACCTTGTGTTTCCTGAGGATGATGGTGGAAACTCCTGGGTAATTCCAGAAGGACATGTGCTGGTGGGGGAGGGGGATTGGCCCATGCTGCTTTTTGTTTTCTCTTTCCCATACCTGAAGGCCCAGTGAGGAGCTCTTGGGTCTGTGTCTGTTGGTGACTCGCCACTTTGTCCTTTGCAGAGGGGCTCAATGCAGACTATGTGAAGGGGGAGAACCTGGAAGCGGTGGCATGTGAGGAGCCCCAAGGTGAGGACCTCCTGTCCCTGTCCCTCACTAAAAATGTCCTAGATTTGTGCCAAGGGAGCTGGGGGGAACCCAGGTGTTTGCTTCTAGAATGTGTAGCCTGAGGCTGTGGGAGCCCAGATGGCCCTGTCCTGCTCTCTGCTCAGCCAGCATCCCAGTTGCAGGAGGCCAGGCTCAGTTCCTGAGCATTGCTACCACACGCCCTGGTCCTGGTCTCTGTGGACAAGAATGGATGGATGGATGGATGGATGGATGGATGGATGGATGGATGTGTGGATGTATGTTTGGGTTTGGAAGGCAAAGTTAGAGATCTGCTGGTTCACTCACTAAATGCCTGTGACACCCAGGGTTGGACCGATTTAAAGCCAGCAGTTGCAACAGGGTCTCCCACATGGGTGCAGGGGCCCAAGCACTTGAGCCATCCTCCACTGCCTGTCCAGGTATATTAGTAGGGACATGGAGGGGAGTGGAGCAGCTGGGCCATGAACTAATGCCTATGGGAGATTCTGCCGTCGCAGGCAGCGGCTTTACTAGCCACACCACAGGGGTTACCCAGATGTTTGGGCCCTGCCACCCACTCACGTGGGAGACCTAAAGTGGTTGCCAATTTCAGCCTAGGTCAGCCAGGTTCATTGTGAACACCAGGAAGGGCAGCAGTAGGGAGATCTCTCACCTGTGTCTGTGGCCTTTCACATCAGTTGGAGAGGTGCTTTCAGCAGTTGTGCCAGCAGCATGCCCATCTTTCCAGGTGAGGAAGTGGTGGCCAAGCTGTGTATCATCCTCCTCTCATCTCCAGGGCCCTAAGAGGGTGGCCCAGGACCAGCTTCGCTGCCCCAGAGCCTAGACAGAGTAGGCAGGGAAAGGAGCTTCTGTTCCCAGCAGGGGCTCAGTTCTGCCACTGTGCCTTCTGAGGAGCATCTTCTCTCTCTCTAGTGCAGTACAAGGCCGTTCCAACACAGTCTGCTGAGCCCCCGCCCCCAGGGCCACCCCGCATCTGAGGCACCCCCAGCAGCGACGCACGAAGCCAGCAAAGGGTGCCACTGCTTGTGAGCCTGCAGCCGATTGCCTTGGAACCACAGCCGCTGTGCTGTCTTCGCCCTGTCATGGCTTCTTGTCCTGCTGTTTCCAGAGGAGCTCCAGGTGCTCGCCAGTTTGGTTTCTGCCTTGCCACAGGAACTCCGGAGGGACTTGGTGCCGAAACTCAAAGCGTGACTCTGCCACCAGGCCAGCAGCAGCCTCACAAGCTGCCAGGTCACAGGTGCCCTGGAGCCGGGCTCAGTGAGTTCCAGGGGTGGGGGCAGGAAGGGCAAAACATGGGGATGGGCAACAAGATGGCTGGGGATGATGTCACAGCAGGACAGCATTTCCACTCAGAAGAGTTTGAACCCAGTGTGCTGTGGTCCTGCTGCGTGCTGGCTGCGGTGGCTCCCAGTGCCCGCTGGCTGCCATGAGGCAGCCTCTGGCTGTGGCCTCCAAGAACTCTCAGTAGGGGCCCAGCTAGCACCCAATTTCTTCCTTTGGAGCCCCCGCAGGGAGCAAGTGAGATGGCACCAAGCAGTACCACACACATGCCACACACAGGCTGGTGGTTCAGTTGCCGTCTTCCAATGCCAGGTTTTATACTGTTGGGCTTCCTGGAAAGCTACTTGGAGTGTAGGCTTCTCCATTCCTTAAGTATAAAATGCATCTCACCATACTTCTGCTAGGAGAGTGTAGGCACCTTTTGGTTGCACAGGAAGCTGTGACTTGCAGCTTCTCATCCAAAAGGGGGCAGTATGGTCTTAAGGCTGGCAGGATTATTGTTGCATATCACTTCTGGGTTGGAAAAGAATTGGCTATTGGGTGGGAGCAGCTGTTCCCCTTTCAGCCTGTCTCTGATCTCTGGGATCATAAGCTACAGGTATCAAGACTGAGCGTGTGACCATCCCACAAAACTGCTGTCCAGAGACCAGGCTGCATGTGTAGATCCCGTGTGCTGCCTTGCCAAGTCAGAACGCACTTCTGATGTGACCAGGCAGGCCAGACCCCGCTTTCAAACCCCATGGGCCTCTTCAAACAGCACGATAATTCTATGTGAGTCCTGGGCTAGGTTGGCACCTCTGTGAGCTTGGCGGTTAAAAACCCCATTCCCAGTTGCAGGTGGGGGGGGGGCGGTGTGGCATCGCACCCTGTAGGTGCCTGCTCACTGTGTGCCCATGACCCTGGAGCACCAGCCCCCTGGCCCTGACAGGGAGTATTGTGAAGGAGGAGGATGGCAGCTGGCTATGCTGCAGATCCATGACCATAGAAGCTGTCTGTAAGATCTGCCCATTTCCAGGGCCTCCTGCCTTTGCTAGCCAGACCACTGTCAACCTTGTCCTTCCCTGATGCCAATGACATAGAGGGCTTATGAACCTATCGCTGGCCATTGCAGAGCTGGAGGTAGCTATGGAGAATTTTTGCACCCATGACCTGTTATTACCTAGAAAGGTTGAGTTGTGGTAAAGCCTGTGTGATGGCAATGACCTTGGAACCCTGTAGCTGTGATGTCTAATAAATGCTCTGTGAAGACACTTTCTCCATAGCACTGCCTTTCGTCAAGTCAAAGGGCCCCCATTCTACTGTGTGTTGTCTGTGTCTTCTGCATGAAGGCCACAGCCTGGGTACCAGGCAAAGTGCCCAGGAGAGCCCTGGGCTTTCTCTCTTGCTCAGCAGGTGTCACTTGTCAAAGCCTCCAGGCCAAGGATCACACAGGACAGCTAGGGTCTAGCCCAGGTGAGTCAGAGGTGGTGGCTTGGTGGGCGTGGGTCATCCCAGTTCCCTGCAGACCATGTGCAGGCTGAGCACAGTGGTCCATGCATTCTTCTGTGTGCCAGTGTCTGCATTACACAGATCCGCTTTGTTCCTCAGTTATGTGGTGCCGACCTCAGTGCTCTCCTCTGAATAAGGCTGCTGACAGAGCCCCTGTACAGGAGCTGTGTAAAGGGGAGAGGTCACGGGTTGCCCAGCACGTCTAGTTCCTGCCTGCAACAGCCCTGCGTCCTCTCCAAGGGGTCTGCCCACAGAAGCAATGGGCGGCGCTGGCACACCAGCTGCTCTTCCTCGCCAGAGCCATCCTGTAAGCAGCATGCATTCTAGTTGTGTGCAGGCAAATCTGAGCACAAGAGGCGCCTGGATCGTGGGCTTAGCTGGGACAAAAAGTGCAACCCTTGGGCAGCATTTGGGGCTCCACATTGAGGTCAGGGGCCTTTTTTGAAGTCCTCAAAGCCAAGGCCACAGTGTGATTTTCCTTTGCTGAGGGGCCTGGCAGTGGACCTCCTGGCCTTCTCCATCACTGCTGGGAAGGGAAACCTACCAAGTGTTCTCCAATTGGCCCTGGGCTCCCTCAGCGGGGATCCCTCAGCCACAAGGGATCCCAGGCCCTTCAGAGTGTGACCTGCAGGGGGCGATAACACACCGGCACAAGGAAGACCCAGCACCCTGCCTCCTGGCTGGCCCAGGCCCTTTCCCAAAAGGCTTCTGTATTTTCTCTAGGTTATTGTCAAAGAGCAATTAAGCTTAAAGTCAGAGTGCCTAGCCTGTCTGGGTGAAAAACCTCGACTTGGCATAAATGACATAGGCGCTTTACTATGTGCCAAGCACAGGTGACGTCCACAAACAGGCGATCTGTGTTGTTTTTATTACTGGTCTTCGGGAACACTTAAAGAAAGACCCCAAGAAGAAAGCCACAGAGCAAACATAGAAATTTAATTACAGATTAAAATACAGTGCATCAGATGAGGCACACACAGTATTGTACCAGTTTTTAAAAACCTGAACCATGAAGGTTTTGTGTTCTAGTACACTTAAATAAGAGAATGAATTGCTTAGCAAACAGAACTGTGCTCACAGCTCTGTGAGGAACAAAGAAAAGTGGGCTGCTGTGCCCCTTGAGCAGCTCAGGGGATCTCGAGGGATCCTGCTGTCGGACGGTCCTGGCTGGGCACTTGCTCGCCACCTTGTCTGCTGACCTTACCGAGCGGCCCTTGTGGCCTCCACAGGTCTATCCAAACCTCACTGGCCCTGTCCTTCACCAGTTCAGTGCAGCTGGGGGATCAAGTTTTTCGGGAGGGGGCAAGGGAAGTTGTTCTTCCATGAGAAGCATTAGTGTACCAATCCACAGTCCAGTTTATTCAGGCATGTTGGGATTGTAAATCAAAGCTAATATCAGAGAAACTGACACAGAAACAAATTCCCCAGATGGTAAAAATGTAGAGGATTTTATCAAATTACTACAAATACTTGTTATCTTAAGGAACAGGAATTTTCTATAAGTTATCAGAAGGTTCCAAGTTGAAAAAAGCTCTATTCTTTAAGGTAGTTGGCTGTTAAAAAAAAAAAAAAAAAACTCTTAACATTTTCAAAAGATCAGCATGTTGGAGGGTGCATGGCATCCAGGAATTGGACACAAGCTGGTGACCCTGTGACACTAGCAGTGGCAACATGCACCAACAGGGCGCAAGTGGCCACGCCTCACCCCGGCTGTGGCGCAGAACCGCGTGGCAGCTGCTTGCCTTCTGCAGGGCCCCATGCAGTCACCAAGCCCGAAGTCACTGAGCGACGGTGCAGAGCAGAGGCTCGCCTCACCGAGGCTGGCTCCCAAGGCCAACCCCAGGGACCTGTGCTTGCTTTAATGGAAGCCACGGCACAGGCTTGCCTGAAAATACAGGTGGGCAGTCGTGTGAGTAAACCAGGTCGCAGGGACCATGAATACAACTTCTACTATTTCACACAACCTAGAAGGGTTGAAAGTGCATTTGCTTTTATGCCAAGGATGGGCCTGGGACTCCCAGGAGGGTACCAGTGCCTGTGCGGAGCCGCCGGAGCCCTTGGCGTCCCCTAGCAGGGCCAGAGCACCAGGTGGGCCTAGTTCCTGCAGACCCCATCAGTGGACTGGGACACCTCAGGAGCAAGTACCAGGTAAGTGAGGACAAACCTTGGTTCAAATGTACCACAGAGAAGTCAGCATGAGGTTTGCTGGAAACAAGCTCACGTCACACAGGTAAGCAGCAGTCTCCTCACGTGACGATACCCAGAAAAAGGACGTAGGAAAATAAAGGCATGTTTCTCTTGTCCAAAAATACCTCATCTGTACATATCAGTAGCTACAACAGGGGCCCTCTGGCACGAAGGTCACTGGCAGAGGTGGCGGGGGCTGCCTGCCCTACAAGGATTTCCCTGCAGGGTCGGGATGCCCAGGGCAGCCCTGTGGCGCACGTCCATCTGGTGAGGCGTGGCACTCAGAAGCAAAGGCGAGGAGACTCCCTGGAGCCTCTGTCCTGCATCCCAATTATTCTAAGCTGCCTGGGCTAGAGGAAGGCAGGCCCCGGTGACACCACTGACAGGAGGGTAACAGGCTGTGCATACAACAAACACTTGCTGTCTACGGAAGCTGGCGTCTAGCCACACGTATATGGTCCCTGGGCGTAGGCTTAAAACTACCAGGCACCGGCAGGCCCTCCCCTGAGCCTTGCTTGCCTGTCACACTGAGGTGTGCATCGGGGTGGCCGTGTGCGACGGTGAGGAGCCCCGCTCCGATGAGGACGAGATGGCACGCGTGGCCACCTCCCGCTGCAGGTCCTCCACGCGCTTCTGCAGCTCTGCCCTAACAGCCAGCAGCTCCTTGAGGGTCTGGTGGATGGGCGTCTGGTGGAGAGCAGAGAGTAGCATGTTAGCTGGGCATCAGGGCGCCAGCACAACCCGCCCAACCCCAGGCTCCCAGGCCACCCGAGGCTCCTCTGCTCAGAGGTGCTCCTCAGCCACAGGGCAGAGCTCAGCACAGGGGCCTTGGGCAGCCCTCTGCCCGTCTCCATCAGCTCTGATCTGAGGGCTTCTGAGCACTTCTGCTCATTGAAGAGCCTCGTGTACCATTGCCACTTGCTCCAACTTGAAGCTGGGAGCATCCAGTGCAGCAGGGGCCCACACAAGCCCCAGGGCTGGGCAGCCGTACTGGGGGCACAAGCCACACGCCCAGCAGCACTGCACAGGGCCTCACTGAGACTAGATTTTATTTGAAAGATCCTTCACTCCCTGGTTCACTCTTCCAATGCCCGCTGGAGCCAGACTGAAGCCAGGAGCCTGCAACTCCATCCAGTTCTCATGGGGGTTGCAGGGACACGATTCCTCGAGCCAGGCTGTACGTTAGCAGGAAGCTGGGATCTGGAGCCAAGCCTCAGAGCAAAGCCCACTGTGCTCCTTGAACGGCTCAAGCGGGGTGGGGGGTGAGGATGCACAGGCTTTTCCCCTGGGGTACATGGGACACCCAGGTACACTACCAGCTCATCTCCTGTGAAGCGCTCAGGCTGGGCCCAGACCAAGAAGGCGGGCAGCTCAGCAGCCAATGGCTGCAGGGCTATGGCGAGCGGTCTGAGGAGTCCCATTGTTCCCCAGCACAAGTGCTCAGGCCAGCTCCAGGCCACGGCCCTCAGCCAGGTCTACACCATGTGACTCCACAGGGGCCACCAGCAGATCATCTTGCCCCTACACTGGAATTAACGTCTTGCTATAAGGCTTCAGGCCTGGTCTGACCCCACGCTGCCTCCAGCTCTCCTCTCGCCAGCCACTGCCTCTTCTCCTTCACAGACTCCGAGCTACACCGCAATGCAATCCTGAGAGCCATGTGCCTCCAGAACAGGGTGCCCAGGCTGAGCGCTGCACACTTGGCTGCCCCTCCCTTCTGCAAGCTGTCAGTGTCAGGTCCTCAGAGTAAAGACTGACTCCAGAGAGCAGCACCAGCAAGGAACCGGCCCCCCACCCCCACCCGGCCTGGGCGCTATTTTCCTCGGAGAGCAGTGTAATGGAGGAAGGCCATCAGGCTGCTCTGCATGGAGACGTAGCTTCCCAGCCAGGGCTGCCCACATGCACCGCTCCTACGTGCAGGCAGCATGCTACAGCATCATCCACTTTCATTAGCGAGAAATAAAGCATTCTGACAGAATAGGAAAGCCCGAGGACTCAAGATCGGATATGTTCAGGAAAATCCCCGCTACCAGCCCAAGTGTTACTCCGTCTCCAAGCAATCGGAATTTGGGGGGTGGCTGAGCAGGATGCCCCTGGGGGACCCCGCCCAGCCAATCCAGCAGGCTTGTCCTCCTCTGCTTCCCCCGGGTGCCACCGCCAAGCCGCACCCCAGCTTGCTCATCTTCCAGCCACACACCCTGCCCACCCACCTTGATGCTGCTGGAGTGAGCTCTCTAGTACACCTAGCCTTGTCAGATAAACCTAGAGGCAAAGTGCAGACTCCCACTAGGCACCAGTGTCACCAGGGTTCCAAATACTCATTGCTCAGCACCATAGAAGTGGCCGACGTGTTTGCTGGATTAATAAAAGCTATGGCCACGTGCAGTGTTTGTTTTCCGCCCTGTGTACCATAGGGTACAGTACAGAGTGTGTGAAAAGCTCTCCTATGGCCAGCTGGGGTTCGTGGCTCCCTCGCAAGCCCCATGAGGTCTGAGGCTCAGGGGTTTGTCTCACATCAGCAAGTCACTGTCAGAGCCACATCTGGGTCCTCCTGGAGGCATCTTTCTCTGCAGGCACCAGGCAGCAAGGTCTCAGGCAGCTCAAATCCATCTGCACCTGAGCATATATCTGTGCAGTCGGTAGGTTTTAGGAAATCTATGGGTCCTGCCTTCACCTTCACCATGGCTGTCAGAGTGGGTGTTGTGTGTGGGGCTGGTAGCCCAGCAGAGAGCACTGTGTGCAGTAGGAAGAATGGGCACTCAGGGCCGCAGCTGCTCCGCAGCGCCAGCATTCTTCTGGGCCACTCCAAGGCACTGTGCTCTTGGGCTTCCCACTACCAAACAGCACTCGCTAACTGGGACGTAAGTGATGCACAGCCGTGACTCCCCGTGCCACTGCCCATCTTCCCTGTTCCTAAAACCAGGCGAAAACACAAGTCACCCAGGGCAGAACAACTTGGCAGAGACGCTAACAGTGAGAAGGAAGCTGCTTCTAGCGCATGCTGGCTCTGCTGCCTGCAAAGAAGCGCTCCTGGGACCTCTGTGCTTATTCTTAGCTGAACTTCCAGAGGTGGGGTTGGAAAGGAGCACATTCTGGGAATTGGGACTCCAATGGAGGTACTGGCAGCAATCCCACACTTCAGGCTCCTGCAGGGCTTGATGTGGGCTGAGGAACATCGACCCGGGAGGAAAAAAAGAGGCGGATGAGGGCAGGGGCCGGCTCTGGGAGGACCAGGACTGTGCTTCCTGAACACTGGCTGTGGCAGACACACCTGCCACTCTAAGAGGGTCAAGAGCATAGGATGCTGCAGGGACTAGCAAAGAGGAGGCCAATGTGGGGAGCAGAGAGTACAGGAAGGAATCACAAAGCAGCTGCCTCGGGGGCTGAACACGCTGCTGTGAAGGAGGCTGGATCCGGCAGCTGAGTCTGCGGGAGGCTTTTGGCCTGGCGGGGACAAGAGAGGGACTGTGGCCGGCTTGGCCTTCCCTCTGGTTAGTGGTGGTTGAGGAACTGAAGATCATGAAGAGAGGCATGGAACAGGGGCTGCTGGAGGAGGGCCCAGAGCAAGGGCAGGGTTCCAGATCCCAGCTAATGAAGTTCATCAAAGCCTTTGCAGTGCACCTGATGGACCAATGGCGAAACCATATACCACTTAAGAAAAATCTCTGCAGAAAATGATCTGGCCACAGAGGGGAGGGACTACCTGCATCCATTTTCTCCCCATCCAGAACCAGCCATCTGCTGGTTACCTGGGGGAAAAGAGGTGAACAGCATGGAGCCATAGTTCATGAAGCAGCAGCGGACAGTGGAGCCCTTCAGGAAGGTGGACTGGCAGTGCCTGACGTGGCAGCCAGCTATCGGCCACGGAGCGCGGAGGGCAAATGCAAGTTTGGCGAACAGGCCTTTGCTCTGCATGTTCTCCAAGTTCCTTTTAATCTCAGAAAGTGTAACAGTGAAAAGTGTGCTGGGAGGGGAAATGGGACTCCTTCTTCAAAGGGGTGTCTGTCCCCTCACTCAGCACATGCCCTCTGTTACCAGAGTCTAAAACTATACGCTTGATACGCGTTTCACCAGCTTTGCACCTGCTCCACCCACAACACCTCCACATATCAGCAGCTTGTATGACCTATGACCAACAGCCAAACTAACAGATGGCATTTTTGTACCTTCATCAGAAGATACGTAGTAGTAAGACTTGTAATAGTACCAGGAAGTCATCAAAACTGCTAGAACATGAATACAAAATTCAACAGTGACAGGCAAGAGCAAAAGACTATATTTACCTGGAAAGGAATACAGGCTTCTGTGGGGGAAAAAAAACCAACCATACCTGTGGTCTCATCCGTGGATTCCATCGTACATAATAGTTGACCCATAATTCCAAGTGACTCAGGCTAGCAACAGGATATAACACATGGTTTTCATAATTCACGAAGAAGGGGTTAGAAAATTCATCTAGCTGGCTATTGATATAAGACCACAGAGAAATAGTCTTTGTATGTATATCCTGAAAAACAATAAATACATTGCTTTAAAAGTTACTATTCAAGCGAATTCACACACTGAAAAATTCATGAATATTGCTAAGCCCAACCCTCCTGTCGAAGCTAGGCAACACATGCTGACTGTGGGCAGGTGTAATGTAAACTCACACGCACAGGTGAGCCTACTGAGAATATCTAGTCTGGTTTTAAGTCTGCTTTTTGTGACCCTTAAAATTAGAACTGTGGGTATAGTAGACAGTTAAGGGTTCTCTCACTAGAAAACCTTGGCTATCTACAGAGAAACATATAGTGGTGGCAAGCTGGAGCAGCTTCAGACAGTCAACACTGAACACACCCAAATGTGCAGGCAGGTAAACAATGCATGGAGCTCACTGTTCAAAAACAAGTGAGGCCATGGGGAGTTTCTGCCACTCTGCTGATCTCAAGGCTGTGTTTCCCACAAGTTATCTAAACACAGGAGCATTCTGTTATGACCTTGTCATTTTTATACACTGTAAGAGCCAAAATAACTGTGCAGCAGAGAAAAGTAGGACTGGCTCTCTGCAATTTCAAAACATGCTACAAAGCTATGGTAATTGATACCAGTGGTGCTGGCGTAAGCACAGACACACAGATCAATAGAACAGAGAGAAAAAATGAACTCTCACATTTATGGCCAACTGATTCTCAATGGGGATCTGGCTAGACAGGAAAATGCAATGGGGGAAAGATTCTTTGCAGCAAACGCAGCTGAGACAACTACGTGGCCAACACAGACCCAAGTTGCAGCCTTACTGCACAGCACATACAAAGATTAACTGCAAATGGATCACAGACCTAAATGTAAGCAGCAAAACTATAAAACTCTCAGAAGAAAATATAGCACCAAATCTCTATGCCCTTGGGTTAAGCAGTAGTTTCTTAAGATTTGATATTAAAAGATTTGATATGTATATAACATGAGTCTATAAGGAACTCAACAAAAAAGAAATGAGCCAATGTAAGAATGGCCAGGAGCAGGCCTTTGGCTTAGCTGTTAAGACACTGGTTGGGATCCTCACAACTCCCATCTGAGTGCCTGGTCTTGAGTCCCAGATGTGCTCCTCATTCCAGCTGCTGTAATGCTGCAATTTACCCCAGGAGGCAATGGATGGTTCATGAGAAATCTGAATTGAGTTCTTGGCTCTGGCTCCGGCTTGGCTCAGCCCTGACTGCCGCAGTCTTTGGTGGTAGTAAACCAACGGACGTAAGCTCTGTCTCGCCTGTCTGCCTCTAAACATTTTAAAACTGATTTTTAAGTGGGCAGGAATGTGAACATTTTGGCCAAGTAATTCACAGGGAGCTCGGGATGCTGCAAGGCCGGGGTTCAAGTGGCAGCTCTGCATCCAATCAGCATTCCTGCGAATGAGCACTCGAGGGGGCAGCACGCGATGGTGACCACTCCAGCAGCTGAAACCCTGCCACCCACATGGGAGACTCAGACTGATTCCTAAGCCCCTGGCTTCAGTTTGGCTCAGTCCAACTGTTGTGACCACTTGATGAGTGACACAGTAGAGGAAAGATCTCTCATTTTCTCTCTCTGCTTTTCAAACAAGAAAAATTTTCTTTAAAAACAATTCACACAGCACCATCACGCTGGGTCTGTAGGAGTGTGAACTCTGTCCTAAATGCAATGAAGGGGCACTAGATGGATCTCATTTGGGGGCTGTCAGAGATGAAGCCTGGCAGCCCTTCCTGGGTGTCTTCCTTGGTCTAACTGTGAAGTGACAGGGTCTGAACAAGGACTGTAGCAATGGAGTGGTTAAGAAAGGGTCAGGGCCAGCAGTGGTCAGTGCGGAGTGGATATGGCAGCCAGGTGAGGGAAAGCAGGCTGTGGAGATGATGCCTTTGCACACTGCCCAGCACCTAGGTGACCAGTGCTGCCATTTGCAGAGAGACGCAGGGAGCTGACAGTCTATAGCATGAAAACTTTGTTTCATGCACAAACGTAGTGAACATGCATTCTCCATAAAACTGCCTTCGGGCTATGTGATCTGTAGATGAAGCAGCAGATGGATTTCATGTTTAGACTCAGCTCCTATGCCCAGGAGATCTCTAATGAGGCTGTGTGTGCAAATCGGAAGCCTGTGGTTGCAAACACGGTGGATAAAGGTCATTTGCCCTACAACATACTGACCTCTTGGAATCGCTGCTGTTCACAGTTGCACAGAAAGGTTCCAAAGAGACAGCTATAAAGGTGATCCAAAATTGTAATCAAGAATAGTTCATTAAACTCAAATGCTGAAGGAAACTGAAATGGAGAAGAAAAAAAATAAGGCTTAAAAGAAAGCAGTTTGTGTATGTGTGTGTGTGTTTGTAAAAGACAGATAAACTGAAGCTTGGAAAAATCCAAGATGAAAAGGGACTTGCAGTCCGTGAGAATCTTAGTTCAAGTCTAAGCTGGCATATCTGCTGAGAAGTAACAAAAAGCAACAAATCATGTTGGTATTCCCCATTGCCTAAGAAACTTCCTGCAGCTTCCACTGTCAGCCTGACAGTGTGGGGGACAGGGAGCTTACCACAGGCAGTGCCCACCGGAAGCAGCACATCAACACCCACTCATGTGTGGCCAAGCCTGCCATGCATGCTCAAAGGGTGTTGTGGTGTGAAACTCGACTAACAAAACAATGGTTAGATGCTTATACACCAACGATCGTGCCTCAGCCATTTGCAGTAGCTGCTTCTGCCCAGAAAGCACCAACACTCCAGAAGAACTTATGCAAAAATCCTGTACTGCCAGTTTGTGTGTGCGTGCGTGTGCGTGTGTGTGTGTGTGTGTGTGTGTGTGTGTTTCTAGAGAACTAAAAAAACACAAATGAATATTAACCCTATCCCAAAGGGCAGCAGTGCTGCTACTTTAGGTAGCGTAGAAGGGCTGAGAGTCTTGGCTACATTATTTCAATGAATTTTTTTCCCTTACTTCCTTTCATATCAGTTTGTCCATACAGACTAGCTCATTATATTCTGAGTCCTGATAATGTAGCTCAACCTACTTACCACGAGGAGAGCAAAAACTAAGTTTCTTGTTATATAAATGTACCTTTTACTAACCTGCTATGTCTTACTCACTTAATTAACTGACAGACTGTCCGCTGATGCTTCTAACGGGTTAACAATGTTATTTTTAAAATACAATAATTATACACATACTTCATGGACAGAACCTTAGCTGTGAGAGGCACCCGCAATCTTCTCATCTAAACCCCTTATTCTCTTGTTAAAATCCAGCGGTGTGGCATAGTAGATAAAGCTGCTGCCTGCAATGCCAGCAACCCATGAGTGTCAATTTGTGTCCTGGCTGATCCACTTCTGATCCAGCTCTCCTAATGTGCCCAGGAAAGCAGCAGAGGACGACTCACAACCCTTAGGACTCTGTAGCCATGTGGGAATCTGGAAAATGCCACTGGCTTCTGACAGGGCCGGTCTGGCTAATGCAGCCAACTGGGCGAGTGAATCCAGTGGATGGAAGCATTCTGTGTGTGTGTGTGTGTTTCTTGGTTTCTCCTTCCCTCTCTGAGTCCACCTTTCACATAAATAAACCTTTTAAAAAGTCCAATAAACAACAAAAATAACAGATTAGACTGGACAATAGGCAGTAAGCAATTCAAACAGTATAAGTCTGTTTGAAGTTGTTAGAATACACACATGCACAGATACCACAAGGTATCTGGATGGAATAAGCCAATTCAGAACCATAAAAATGATGCTTACTCCTTTAGAGGCATCTGGAACTGTTTCTTGTGTTCAGCCTTTGCATGCAATTTTCTACGACGTTTCAAACTTTCTGAACCTGAACTTACCATTTATTTTGATATTGGCTCATCATCAATACAAGCAATACTATAAAACACCTGCAGTGTTCTGGCCAGCCTCTGGGCCTTCTGAGCATGTGCTTGTGTCATGACCATGCCTCCCTCTGAGACCAACCCTCTCATGGCAGTCCTCTACCTACCAGCTACCGTCACCCTGCTGGTACTTGGAACTTGACACCAAGTGAGGGCCTGAGCACTCTGTAAGACCTGCTTTGGCTGCTCGGACCCATGTCCCTTTGGATCCTTAGTTCCGAAGGCACGTCTTTGGCCTCTGGAATATGCTCTGGGAGCTTATCGGAAGTGCAGCAATGCAGGCCTGCCTTAATCCATTGGCCCAAATCCTGAATCTCAATGAGACACTCAGGGCATTTGTGGGCTCCCTGGCATTGAGCAGGGTCGGTCTAGGGCAGTGGTCTCAAACTGCAGCATGCTTCCAAAGCCCCAGCAGGCTGGTGAAGTCACAGTGCTGGGCCCCTCCCCTACAGCAGGAGATCTGCACCAGGGCCAGCCTGAGACTGCTATGCCTAACAAGTAGCCAGGGGATGCTGTGGCTGCCAGCCTGCCTATAGCATGTGTGCAGCTATGGCTGTGCAACTCTGGCTCATTTACACATCTCAGTCACCTGGGCCTGTGCCTCATGCACAGTGACACTGCCCCCAATGTTCCTGGATGCTGGCAGTGGACATGTAAAGTGTAGCGCCATCCGCTTGGGCCCTTCTCAGGGCACAGCTGCTGGGGAGTGAGCCCAGTTAAGGCTGAGGATGGCAGCATAGGCAGCATGGTAATTCTCAGCCTTCTTTCTAAACCAATACACAGCTCTCGTCAGTAACAATAATGGTAACAGTGATTTAATGGGGAACTGCCTGGCATTTCACAACTTGTAGACAGATGTTGTTGGAGAATGGCCCGGGATGACTGACCCACTGGCAGGGAGGATCAGTCTGGAGTATCAAGGCTGGTGGTGGAATCCGTGCAGGGCAGCTCTTCCTTGTGGCCACATCAGCCAGAGCCTCTGGTGAGCAAGTGTGCATACCCAGCTGCTCAGTCCCCTAACTCCTCTTGCTACAGCGCCACCTTCAGTCAGGTTGGGAAGGAGGCATCAAAGAGCTTTCTCTCTCTCTCTCTCTCTCTCTCTCTCTCTCTTTCTCTCTTGTGCCTCTTCCCACCCTCTCTCTGGTTGCAAGACCATTTCCCTAGCATGATTTCATAACAAGAGGCTTGATATGAAAACTCTGGTTTATATGTGGAACATGGGGAAAAGATAGTATCCGCTCTCTGGCCTGCTCTGAGCTCAAGCCACTGGGCCTGGCTAGCCCAGAGAAGTGATTCATGCATGGCTTCCTTAAGGGCCCTGGAGGTTGGGACCCAAGCACCAGCCAATGACAAAATACTACAAAGCTTCCCATCCCTGCTGGCTCAGTGCCTTTGGGGTCAGAGGGGCTGTGGCCTAAGAAGAAAGAGCAGGTTCTCAGAGTCTAATCCCATTTACTGGCAATTCAGTCACATGCTCATCTCCAGCACCTGTCCAAGCCTGGCCAAATGGGAGCACCAGGAGCAGAACTGATGAAGGATAGAGGACTGAAAAATTTTTTTTCAGAAAAAAGACAACTTTTGGTGTTAAATTGGTTATTTCTAATTTTCTTCTTATATTTTTAAGTATATCAGAATAAAACTCTATGAAGTAACTGAAGGGTGTATATTTGAAAGACGCACATTCATTTTGAATGCAACCGCAATAAAAGTTTATGTACTCTTCTGCTCTATGATATATATGAATCAAAGACTTGGTATAGGTCAAAATACACTTGAAAGCTCTCACCTGTCTTGTCATCTGCCACACACAATCAATAAACTGAAGAAATATTGGTGATCGGTCAGCATCTGCATGGTTGTCATCACCATGGCCTACTCTCTGAAAAGAAACAAAAGGTCAAACCTTGTTCATAGATGTGATGGTATTTTGAAAGCAGCAGAAGACACACAAAGGCTTGGGTCCCTGACACCTAAGTCAAAGAAGCTCCTGGCTTTGGCCTGGCCCAGTTCTGGCCACTGTCACCATCTGGGGAGTGAACCAGAGAATGTAACACCACTCCTGACCCTGCACGCTTTTTCTCTCTCTCCCTCTCTCTCTTTCTGCCTTTCTCTGTAACTTTCAAATAAATAATAAATCAAGTTGGAGGACAGCGATCACTAAGTGATTAAGCACACAGAAGAGAGAAATGATTTTAAGACTGAACCTGGGGCATCACAACATAAAGAGCTTGAGGATATGAGGGAGGACTCAGAGGCAGGAAGAAATTAAGCATCACATGTGGGTGTCAGTTCAAGCTCAAGATTCCGCATCTCCCATCCAGCTCCGTGCTGATAAGTCTGGAAAGAACCAGAAAATGACCCAAGTGCTTGGGGCCCAGTCACCGTGGCCACTGGGGCAATGAAAGAGAAGCTGGAAGATCTTTGTTTCCCACACTCCAACCCTACCTTTGAACAAATAATCTTAAAAAAAAATGTTTAGGCAAAAATAAGAGGTGCTGGCAATGTAGCAGGCTTTGGTGTCTGTGACAAGACCAGGTGTGTTATTTAAGTTACCCTCTGTGGCACTTAGTTATTGCAAAAATGTACATATTAATGTTTCTATCAGTATTATTCACGATAGCAAACAGGTGGAAAAAGCTCAAGTGTCAATCAAGAAACGAATGCACAAACAAAATGCAATATAGCCACACAAGAGACGAGTTGGCAACAACAGAAAAGCATGGGAGTTCAATGCGTATGTCCAGGGATCAACCTTGGAAACATTCTGCTCCGTGAGTTAAGCCAGTCGTAGGAGCACATATCATGTAATTTTATCTACAGCAGTTACTTCAAACACTCTGCAGAAAATAATTTAACAGAAGTTTATTTTGATGTAAAAATATCTTTTGAAATTCATGCATACTTTTTCATATACATGTTCCATGAATTTTTTGAACTACGCTTATATGTAAGATCATAAGAAAATGCACAGAGACAGAAAGTAGGTACTTAGTTGTCAGGGGCCAGAAAGAGGAGAAAACAGGCAGAACTTGGTGCACACAGGCTTTCCTTCTGGGGTAACTAGGTAAAGGTAATGATTATACAACAATGTGAATATACTAAAGGACAAGGAATTGAGCATTATTATATGAATTTTATCTACATTTTTAAAAAGCATAACCACAAAATAAAATTCAAATATACAAAAAAACTAAACAAAAAATTTCCCACCGCAAACACACAATGCCACAATCCATGGTGTTTAACCTGCGTTCTACCCATATGTAAAGGCATAAGACAGATCAAAAACACGCAAGCACAAATCTCACCATCTCAACTTACCAGCGCAAATCGATGTCCAAAGCTTATCCACTCTTTTTCTATCAGAGCTTCAAACCCTTTAATGGTTCGGTAGTAACTGTCCAACATCAGCATAGACAGAGATGTGAGCTGAGCTGTTCGGTCCCAACCGTCACTGCAGTGCACCACCACGGAGGTCTTGCCACATTCTATTTTATCAGCAATTCTCACAGCCCCAGCAAGAAGCATCTTCAGAAAAGAAGGCAGGTTAGATCAGGCCACATTTTATCTTGGTCACAGTATGAAATAATTATGGGGAGAACTTTGGAAATTTTGGCCAATAAACCAAACAAGAAAAACCACATAATCAATTGAGAATATCACTAGGAAACAGCAGTACCACATTAAAAGAAAACTGACATAAAAAAAAGACAGTAGTAAGAAAGGTCCTTTACTAAAGGACCCAAGTTGTTTAAAATCTGACATGAAGTAAATATTATCCCCTTCTTACTACTCTGCAAAGGCCCTCTATAAATTCCACAGCTTGGATGCTAAGAAAGCTCGTGTAAGCAGCTAAACTGTATATGTTTAAGATGTTGAGAAACAGGTGCTGACACAGGTTGCAAAGAAGTCTCAAGCAAAAAGCATATTACATAAAGGACTGAACCTCTTTTACCCTTATATACTCCAGCCAGTGCGTCCCATCTACATTGGATAGCCACCGGGCCTCATCGATGGAAGGGTATACAATCTCTTTTAATTTACGTAGTGATTCTCTCATCACATGAATGTTGTGGATCTCCAAGAATGTAAGTTCTGCATTTGGGTAAGCACTTTCACTCTCATAGCCTCCACCCTTTGCCTGTGAAAACAAAAGACCTATATCACTTCATCTGGAATAAATTTTCCGATTATTTCTAGTGCTACCAGTTGTGGATCACTAAAGAAACAATCACCTTATCTTTTAACAAACCTTTGATATTTTTGCGTAAGGTTCCGAGGGCTGCCGGAAGTAGTACTATAATCTAAGTCGCCTAAGACAACGGAAACATATTCTTGTCCAGAGGCTGGAATTGGAAGAGCCAGCTTCCTCAGAAGCCTCCAGGGGAAGACTCTTCTTGGCTCTCCGTGCTTCTAAGCACAGATGCTAGCCCAGCTCCACCTGACTCTCTCCCCTTGCCTGTGCTTCTATTTCTTCTCTTCTCCTAAGGGACCCCATCACCCTAACTCAGTATGATCTCATCTTAAATATGTTCACAAAGACCCTGTTCAGAAATAAGTCCCACTCCGAAGCACCAGGAGTGAGCACTTCAACAGCTCCTTAATGAGGACATAACTCCTAGTAATCCTCCTTCATTCACAATCAGTTTCCATTAGGAAGTGGATCTTAAGAAGAATTAGATTTAAAAGGGTTATTTGAGTGGCATCTCTCTGAATAGAAAAATTTGTAGTGCCTCAAAATTTCTATATAATAAGACAATTTGGAAATCTTTTTATCATGAAATATACATAAACAACTTTGGGAAAATACCAATGTAACAAAAGGGCCTGGCGTGATAGCCTAGCAGTTAAAGTCCTCGCCTTCCTTGCATGTGCCAGGACACCATATGGGTTCTGGTTCTAATCCCGACAGCTCCACTTCCCATCCAGCTCCCTGCTTGTGGCCTGGTAAAGCAGTTGAGGACAGCCCAAAGCCTTGGAACCCTGCACTCGCGTGGGAGACAGGGAAGAGGTTCCTGGCTCCTGGCTCCTGGCTTTAGATTAGCTCAGATCTGGCCCATGCAGCTGCTTGGGGAGTGAATCATCAGACAAAAGATCTTCCTCTCTGTCTTTCCTTCTCTCTGTATATCTGACTTTCCAAAAAAAACAAAACAAACAAACAAAAAAAAAACCTAAATAAATCTTATTTTAAAAATGTAACAAAAGAGGCATGTAACCGAACTGCGCAATTTTGTAAGAAAATCTATACTGTCTGGGCCCTGCACGATGGCGCAGTGGTTAAGGTCCTCACTTTGCATGCCCGGGATTCCATATGGGCGCCGGTTCTAATCCCGGCAGCCCCCTCTTCCCTTCCAGCTCCCTGCCTGTGGCCCGGGAAGGCAGTCGAGGACGGCCCAGAGCTTTGGGACCCTGCACCTGAGTGGGAGACCTGGAAGAGGCTCCTGGCTTCAGACTGGCATAGCATCGGCTGTTGCGCTCACTTGGGGAGTGAATCATCGGATGGAAGATCTTCCTCTCTGTCTCTCCTCTCTGTATATTCGCCTTTCCAATAAAAATAAAATAAATCTTTAAAAAAAAAGAAAGAAAATCTATACTGTCATTTGCCTATGTTTTATAGCAATCAGCATTCAAAACACATCTGTGATGAAAATGTAGAGAAATTAGAATTTTAATATATTATTGGTGGAAATATAACATGATGTGAAAGACAATCTGGTAGTTCCTCAAAAAATCCAATAGAATTATCATATGATCCAGCCACTGCACTCCTGTGTTTACAAAGCATAGAACTTGAGAACAGATATTCAAAGAAAAATGCAGAAGTTCTTAGTCATACCATTCACAACAGTTAAAGAAAGATATAATCCAAATGTTTAATGCAAATGCACAGAAGGATAAGCAAATGTGGCCCATCTACACAACGAAATGACATTTGGTCATAAAAGGGAATAGAATAATAATGATACATGGACGAGCCCTAAAGACAGAGTGGACAGACAGAAAAGACCACACAGATTCACTATCTGGAATGCTCAGAACAAGGAAATCCACAGGGACAGAAAATAGATCATTAGGAATGAGAGTGACCACTAAGGGGACAGAGTTTACATCTGGAATGATGAAGTGTTCTGGAATAAGACAGGGCTGTTAACTGCACAACACTGTGAAATCACTGAAAAGTCACTGAATGTCAACTTGGGAACTGTTTACATTGTGGTGTTATGGTTTATAGCAATAAAAATATAAAAAGTAAACATCTGTTATCCAAAAGACTACATGCTTCACTTAGTTTCCAACCACTGACATGTAAATACTTCATCTTTGGTCAACAACAAACAAGTGGAGACCCTGGTTTTCCAGGTCTAGTGGGGTGAGCAGGGCAGAGGTGTGAGGGTGGCACAGGGTGCTGAGTCCTCTGCTCGAGGAGAGAACAGGGGGCACTAGGAGCACAAGATGGGTAGGAAAGCTAAAAACACTGAAGATGGAGGATTGCTGTGTTCAGCTGCCCAGAGGTGGGCAGGGACACAGCTTCCTAAGAAGGTGGGAAGTTCAGCAGAGAAAACACTAAGGCAGCATCAATAGTATTGGAAGAAAAGGTTAGAAAAATGTACCAGGGCCGGGTGGCAAGGGGAGAGACTCAGATAGGCGAGCAAACAGTGACTGCACTGGAGAGAAGGGACTAGGGGAGGAGGTTGGCATCTTCTGTGGAGAGACTGGCACAGGGATGGGCAGAGTGATACAGCTGACTTAACTACTGAAAAGGCAGGACATTGCAGCTGATGAGAAAAGTGGAAGAGGATAGTGAGGCGACAGCCATGATTCTAGAAAGGGCAATCCGAGACACACACCACCAGAGAGCAAGTCCAATGGAGCGATCCCAGGCAGCAGGATGCACAGGTGTGGTGCTCAGCTGGTTCTGAGCTGTGGATAGCAATACTGACATCACTGGCATAAGTATGACAATGCGAGATATTTAAGAATGTACCTTGTTAGTATCCGCAACACTGTTTTGTCGGGCATCAAAGATGACCAGCTTGTGTGACTGTGCATTGGCATCCATTATTGTTTGCAAGTATTTTTCATCTTCTTTGCAGCGTTTATCATTGGGACCCACAAGTGGCTGGCCGCAACGGGTAATTGTTGCCTGACTTTCTGGATGAATCCACGACAACACCTGTTGTTTTAATCAGTGAATAATTGCTAAAGCAACACATGCTTAGCAGGAAAACAAATGCCCACTTTTTTTTTTTGCATATTTCACTCAGAAGTCACAGTTAGCAGGCCAGTCACTGCACTGTCATTGCTATGGAATACACCTGACCAGATTCTAGAGTTCTAAAAGAATTTACCTCTAAAATTTGGTGTTTTGAGCAAAGCAAATCCTCAGTCCAACTATTAGTAAACATTTATCCTTCTGATGGACTATTTTCATATTATCTTCTAGTCAGAAAGAAACTGAACATATAGTCTCTGATGAAATCTAAAACTCTAGCCAACTGGGATTTCTCTCTATTGTCCAAGTAACCTGGACAATAACAGCAAACCAAGAGCAAAACAATCATTCCTGGTTTGAGCTGTGACTTTTGGGATGGGACCCCTCCCATGCAGCTGTAGCATCTCACAGATTTCACAAAAGGATGATGTGGCAAAGCACTGATACACACTGAGAATGCAACATCATGCTCTTTCCTGCCTTTCCTTACACATTACATTTTCAGAGCAGAACTTAAGTTACTCTCTACTTAGTAACACGAAATCATACAAAAGAAGGGCACAACAAATACAGTTTTATGTAATTAGGTATTTCTTTAGAATTAAAGATATGTTCTGAATTTTGAGATTATTTTTCTACATGTTCACTACTTACAGGAACTCGGCCTTTTGCTCGAAAAGCTGCCACTTTTGAAAGGTCATCATCTTTCACACTACTTGGCACAACAATGACAGCTGGGTAGGTATCACAGAACTCATAATTACTGTTGATTTTGGATATTCTCCAGCTCTCATTGGGTAGGCCCTGAAGTATTAGAGATGGAAGAAAAACAAGATTTTACACTTTGGAAAAGCACATAGCATAAACCACATCTATTTATTTTCAAATAAAATCCATTTGTAATCTGTTGTTCATTGTTGCTGAAAAGTTAACACATATTTATTTGGTAAAACCCATTTCCTTACTAACATGCTAATGAAGCCTATGAATTTCCACACAGTATTAAGAATTGAAAATTCTACTCTGAATTCCAATTCTATATATTTTTGTCCTGTTTCTTATAAAAAGTGAGCTTAGAGTTGTCTTTGAAACTACACCTGAAGGGCCCAGCACAATAGTATAGTGGTTGAAGTCCTCGCCTTGTACATGCTGGGATTCCATACGGGCACCAATTCTAATCCCAGCAGCCCTGCTTCCCATCCAGCTCCCTGCTTGTGGCCTGGGAAAGCAGTTGAGGACGGCCCCAAAGTCTTGGGACCCTGCACCTGCATGGGAGACCCAGAAGAGCTCCTGGCTCCTGGCTTCAGACTGGCTCAGCTCCAGCTGTTGTGGTCACTTGGGGAGTGAACCATCAGATGGAAGATCTTCCTCTCTGTCTCTCCTCCTCTCTGTATATCTGCCTTTCCAATAAAAATAAATAAATCTTTTTTTTAAAAAAGTAAACCTGAAAACAAAGTTATTAAAATGAGCAGAATAAGAACGCAAAACATTATGCCAAATATAAAGCAGAAACAGAGATTAAGTGTCAGTACAACAAAATCCCACTGCAATCAACTTAAAGTTCACAGTGTGCTGAAGAGTTCAGAGCCCCAGGCACTCCACATTAGACTGACGTAGTCAAGCCACATGTTCCACACCTAAAGCCAGTGGTTTGGATCCTAACACATCAGCTCTTTATCAGACCACCTAAAAAATCACCTGGCCAATTGGGGTTTAAGCCCCTGTTTTGCAGTGCCATTCGTCTTCTGGAAACAGGACAAAGTGACAAAGTGACAACGTCAAAGGCTCGGCCCAGGAGATGGAGAGCAAGCTAGAGAACTTGTTTTAGAAGAGAAAGCCTATTATTTTGATAAGGAACATACATTACCTGTCTCTTATATTCAGACAATGGATCATAAACTTTCCAGCCATTAGTCGGAAATTTTTCTTTATAATTGAATGCAAACAGTGTCTAGATACAAAAACCACAAAATACATTTATAATTTATTTTTCATATCACATGTCTAACAGTAAAGTTTTTCATTCTGCAAAGAGTTAAATGTATTAATATTTGTTTTACAAATTTTGAAGAAAGAAAAAGCTGCTTTTTATAATCATCATACAGAATTAATTTCAAATATTTGAATATTAGTTACCAGCAGAAAGAGAATTAGAAAGTTTCTAGAACAACAAATGATTAAAACATTAAAATCTTTGCACCCTTACAAATGTGTGCAGAAAAGTTACAGTGGTATACTTACCTGCCCATTGGAAAGAGGAAAAGCATGTTTGTTAAGGTTTTCAAATATCCCTAGTTTACGCTGTTCCTCCTGTTTATAAGCCAGTCGCAAGTTCCTCATGTCCTGTTGAGAAATTAGCAGGTGTTATTCAACATGCATTGAACACCTGAGTCAAATGCCTTGCCACAAATATTTTACCCATTTTTCATTTACTGCTCAATCTTGCTCCAAATAACAAAACACAACTTAATTAAAAGTAATTGTACTGAGATTTTTAAGAAAAACTGAATGAGGGATTAAAGCAAAGGGGACTGATATGGGGGAAAACAATCATCAGATAGAACTAAAGAAAGAGAAACTGCGCCATCCAAGTGCCATGCAGTCAGCTGCCCGAGACGTGCCACACAGTGCCGGAAGAGCCAGTTCCACCAGATGGAGAGGCAGAGGTTCTGTGAGTTCTGTGACAGCTTCCTGCACTCACAAACAACCCTGCATCATGCACCCCGACTGTGGCCTTGGCAATATTTTTATGGCCATAAAATATTTCACAAGATCACATTTTCTTAAAATGTCACCCAATGCAAGATAACAGCAAAGGCTAAACACAAACTACCAGAAGGATCCACCAAGACCAGCCCTGGCAGTGTTATTTCTTCACAGGATGATGGTTTCATCAGCATTGCCCCCAACCTTTTAAATCTATGTCCTTGTTAGTTATGCATAAACATCTTACTCCTTAACATTACTAAAAAACTTTGCAGTAAGTATGATCACAAGCTAAAGTAACTTTAAGGAAGTAAAGTCATGCCTGTGATGTTATTTATAAAAGCAAGACTGGAACTAGCCTAAATTGACATCAACAGGGGCTAGTTAAATATATACATCAGCACAGATAGTGGGCTGATTATTCCTACTGGTGCAAACAAAATTAGAGTGGGTGGGGGTTGTTTGGGCTTAGCCACAGCATCAGCTGGCAGAAGCTGGCACTGGGGGATAGTTCTGTCAAGTCAAACCACAGAACTATCTGGAGAGTGCATAATCTGGGAGTGGGAGAGGCCTGGGAGGGAAATAGTGGGCTCCTCCCTCCTGGGTTACCACTTCCACGGGAGGGCACGAAAACCAGGACAGAGCTGGGGTGGAATGGGGTGTGGGACAGACTGGACTACTGCTACACATACTGGCAAAGCAGGGTAGGGGGCGGGCCTGGTGGGGGGTATTGTGGGTTGCTCCAACTAGGCTGCAGCTCCCACTGGTTTATGTGAGGGCTGAGTATGTGCTGGGCAGAACCAGGCTGGACTGCAACACCCATTGGTTCCAGTGGAAGTCGGGGCTGAAAACAGAACCAACCCAGCAATTGCAACCACCAGCTCATGGGGCGATGGACTATGCTGGGGCCTGTACTTGCTAGCACATACAAGAATCTGGTTTAAGAACACTTCAGACAAAGTTTCTTTGGAGATCTCCCCAATCAAAATGCTGGACTAAAAACCCTAACCAAGAAGAGAGAGAAGACAGAACAGGTCAACCAACCATCTCAGCTATATGTTGGCAGCGAAATACGGCCCAAAGAGAGACTCTACCATGGGCTATGTCAATCAGAGGATTCTTCAAAGACCTCATAGTGCTTGGAATGGCAAGATTGGCAGTGATTCATAACTGTTGAAATATCAAAACCACTTGAGCAAGAACCTCAGAGCATACCCTACATCCGGGACCTGGGGAGGGTGGGAAATTGGGTGGGCCTTCTCCCTTAATACCCGCTTTAAACATGAGGGAAACAATATGGAAATAATACTAGTCTTATCCACTTTTCTGTAGCCCTTGAACCTTTTTACCCTAATTAACTATGTAAAGATTGTCAAAAAATAATAATAAACATTTATTGTTAAAAAAAAAGAGAGATGTTATCAAGGGGAGAAGCGGGCAGAGAAGTCTAATACACCACCATTTATATCCGCAAGTAAGACAGGTGCTTAAATGCACAAGGTCATCTTTGTGGCATACACTAGAAAAGGGAAACAGCAGATGCCTGTGCGGATGCAACAGCAACCTAGCTGTCTGCTGGCTGAAAGGAAACCTGCTTTTTAATATGTGCAGTTTTTGTACCATTAAACTGTGTGTCAGCTGCGAAAAACAGCCAAACCCACACCTTGCAAGGCTCTTACACCCAGGCTGGGATGACCAGGAAGGAGGTTTCAGTAACTCCAGATTAGAGAACATTTAAAGCAGCTGATAGCAGATGGTCACCCAAGCCCAAAACACCTCTCTGTAACTGCCACAGGACACTGGCCTAGCAGCTCAATCTCCTGACAGGCCCCACTGCTTACACACAGTCTCTGGGACAGCTGACTGAAGAGCTCTAGTGAAGACAATGGTGTTGGTGATGGGGACCGGGAGGTGAGTATGACCAGTGGAAGGAAAGCCAGAAGAACCCAGATGGCAAGGATGAGGAGGGGAAGTTGGGCTCAGATATGCTGGTCAAGAATTTCTCCTTTAGTTATAGCATCCCCAGAAATGACTCAAGTGTTACAAGAAGAGAACAGCACTGCTCAAAGTGTAGCAGCCATCAGGTCACCCACTGTGTGGTAACTGCTTCCGTGCTCCATTCATGCTGCACGTGGGATCCTGCTTGGGAAGCTCAGCTACAGCTTTACCAAAGGAGTAACTGCCTTGTAGCACCTAAGTGATTCCAAGAAAGCAACAGATTCATCATCTGAGAGAAGAAAAGTTTCTTGGAAAAATAAATTCAATTACAGTCTAGGGCCAACCAGAGGGAGCTATACTCAGATCTGACCCAAGTACAAACATTAGCAGGAAGGCAGACCCCAAATCTGGAAGGGTGCTTTAGGTGGGGTTTAGGAAGCTGAACTATATGATGTAAAATCCCTGAGAACAAAACACATCCTTTAGTAGTGTTTCCTGAATGTCTATTCTTCATTAGTTACCAAACACAGCTCTATGTAACTCAGTGGAGGTAAGGTACCAAATTAAAAAAAAAAAAAAAAAAAAAAGTTCAACATTGCCCAGGAACCTAGCAGCATTTTTAATCACAGTTTTGATCAGTCCCTGTTTATAGGAGTCTTAAAAGCACCAACTAGGAAAGCAATCATTGATCTCTGCTTTCTACTTGAGTTCTCTGAGATGTAACAAATTATGCCAGCATTTAGGTTATAGGTCATGTTAATTAGAAACACTTCGATAGAAAAGAAAAGGTTTCATTTGACATGTTACACAATGGTTAGAATTTGCTGATAGCAGACTTCAAGGGTCACTGACCTGAAAAGAAATGTGCATTACTCATAGTACAAATCAACTGTGTGAACAGCATGCCAAGAGTCCGATCCAGGTCTGAGCAGACCGCTTCCTTCACCTTTGCTTGCTTTAACAGCTTACCTTGCACACAATTTCTATACCGCAAGAACTGTCTCCATGACTCTGCGCTCCAATCTTCTCAACTCTGCTGATCACTCCGAGGGGAACATCAAGGATGAAATGTGGGTCCTAGGTCAAAAAGATTAACGCCTGTCAGTCAACAGGGCCTTCCCACTCTTTAGTGGGTTACAAAATACATTTCTTTATTTGGCATTTGTCTAAGCTAAGAAGCTGCAGTCTGGTTTACAGCACACCTGAAGTGTATGCTGAGACAACCATGGAACTTCCCCTGTTTGTTTAAGTCATACTTCAATACTGTTTTTTTTCAAGATATAAAAACGATTGGTAAATATGCATATTTTTAAAACCCATCCTCTGGTTCATCTCAAGGTAAAGGAATTTCAAGGGAACATATGGCCTTCTTTCAGTATTTTGGACTGTTTTAAAAAGAAAACTGTATTAAAAACTCACCCTCTCTACATTTTTGAAGTACATCTTAAAGTCCGTCACCGTTAGAGTTCCACTCACTGCTCCCATAAATGGGCAGATATACATGACATCTTTCACTGCAAGATAAAACCCAAAGCAGCAATTATTGACAGAGATTTATGCCTGAAGAAATCTTAGTATGTGTTTCCACCATATATATATATATACACACACACACACATATGCACACACACAGAGAGCAAGAGAGAAAGTATGATTCCAGTTTTCTAGAAAACTGTACTTTTATACCATTTCAATAAGCAGAAAATCACTTTTGCAGACAGATTCAAAGACAGCTACTAGATACTTTGCAAATAACAGAAGATAAAATGGAATCTTTAAAAGTACTCAAACCAAAGCAAGAGCAAATGATACAAAGAGAAAAAAGATTGTAATTTAAAAACCAATTATATTAATAATTAAATTCAAATGTAAATCAAAGGAAAGACACCGTGGTGGGCATTTGTTCCAACAACTGTGACATTACTCAGAAGGCCCATGATCCACAACAGAGCATCTGGGTTTGATACACAGATCTGATTCCTGATTCGAGCTTCTTGCTAAACGCAGACATCAGCGAGGCAGTGGTGACGGCTCAAGCAATGCAGCTGTCGACTCCTACACAGAGCCCTGGCTGTGGTTCCCAGTTACGACTCTTCTGACTGGTGCAAGCAAAAATTAGAGTGGGTGAGGGTTGGTTGGGCTTTGCTGCAGCATCAGCTGGCACAGGCTGTCAAGTCAAATGCCAGAACCACCTGGAGAGTGCATAATCTGGGAGTGGGAGTGGCTTAGTAGGGAGATAGTGGGCACCTCCCTCGGGGGTTACCACTCCCACTGGAAAACCAAGACAGGGGCAGGAGTGGCTAGACAGAAAGGCACTTGCCAGTATGCATGTGGGCTGGATAGTAGGTTGGAGGGTTCAATTAGGCTTCAATGCCCATTGATATGTAAGAGAGCAGAATGGGATGTGGGAAAGACTGGACAAGCCTGTGGTACATACTGGCAAGCATGGGAACCAGGATAGGGGGCAGAACTGGTGGGGGTTATGGTGAGTCACACCAACTAGGCTGCAGCTCCCACTGGCTTGCGTGAGGACTGAGTATGAAGTGGGTAGGATCGGGCTGGACTGCAACACCCATTGGTTCACGTGGAAGACAGGACTGGAAACAGAACTGACCCAGCAATTGCAACAACCAGCATGTACATAAGCTGATTGGGGCTGACGAACGGTGCCAGATCCTGTACTGGCAAACTCACACAAGAATCAGGTCTGGGATCATCTCAGATGAAGTTTCTTAGCAGATCCCTCCAACTGAATTGCTGATCTCAGAATCCCAACCATGAAGAGACTGTCAGCCAGCGGATTCTGAATAGGTTTCATTGCAATTGGAATGGTGAGATTGGCAGCAATTCAGACCTGTTGAACTATGAAAACTGCTTTAGTAGGGCCCTCGGAGTGTGCCTCACCTTGGGGACCTGGGATGGGTGGGAGGCTGAGTGGGGCTTCTCCCTTATTTCTCCCCGACTCCAGATACAGGGAAAACGATGATATTAGTGTGGAAACAATGGTATTACCCACTTTCAAAGTGTAGCCCTTGACCCTTTGTACCATAATCAACTAAGTAAGATTATTAAAAAATAATTTAAAAAATTGAAGAAGCTGAGCTTACAGAAGTAGAAAGTAAAACAGTGGTTATCAGAAGTGACAGGAGGAGGTGGTGATGGGGAGGGACTGATTAATGAGCACAAAATTACCACCAGACAAGAGGGATAAGTTCTTTTGTTCTATTACACAGAGGATGACTATAACGAACAACTCTGCATTGCATGACTGAAAACAGAAAAGACTGAATGTCCTCATCACAAAGAAATGGTAATTTTTAAGATAAATATCCTGACTTGATCAATATACAATGTACAAACATACCAAAACATCATACTGTACCCCATAAACATGTACAATTATCTATTGATAAAAACAGAAAAAATAAAGACACAAATAGTTTGAAATTCAAAGGATGAAAACAAGCATGGGATATTCAAAATGTTCATGGAAAATACATAATACTAAAAATATATTAGTGTATTTCAAAATCTTTGAACCAAAATAAACTTACCTTTTAATTCAATTTCCTAGAAAATGTTTGAAGTATCCTTACGCATGTTAATGGTAATTAAAACAAAGCTGTAGGCAGAATGATGGACATGCGACTGTCTATGAAGGACTATACTACTGCAATAATATGGGGGCAAATCAGTGAGGGGAGCGATTTGGGAAGAGGAAAGCCCAGAGCCTACAGAACCCCATTGTAAAATAATAACAATAATAAAATACAGGGTTTTTTTAATTTCTCTTACTCTTTATTTATTTTTTTATTGGAAAGTCAGATACAGAGAGGAGGAGAGACTGAGAGGAAGATCTTCTGTCTGATGATTCACTCCCCAAGAGGCCGCAATGGCCAGAGCTGCACCAATCTGAAGCCAGGAGCTCTTCTGGGTCTCCCACGCGGGTGCAGGGTCCCAAGGCTTTGGGCCGTCCTTGACTGCTTTCCCGGGCCACAAGCAGGGGCTGGGTGGGAAGTGGAGCAGCCGGGACACATACTGGCACCAATATGGGATCCCAGTTCATGCAAGCTGAGGAGTTTAGCCACTAGGCTACAGTGCCAGACCTTAAAATAATTTTTAATAGCTGTAATGTCAGAAATAATATCAGACAAAGCGGATTTCAGGGCAAAGAATATTATCAGGAATTAACATTTTCAAAATAAAAAAAGGGGCTAATAGTCCTAAATATTTACATATCTAATATCACAGCTTCAAAGAAATAAAACTGCCAGAACTGCAGGGAGGAACACAAACCCCTCTCTCAGTAACGACTACAAGTAGGCACAAAGGCTGGAATACCACAAGCAAACTTAATTACCATTTGAAAAACATAGTATTCAACAACAGCGGAAAACATTTGAAAGAAAAAAATACAAAAAACACTGACAGACACAATAGATTCTGGGTCACAAAACAAGGGTTGTGAAATATGTAAAAATACTCAAGTCACAAAAAGTAAATGGAATAATATTAAGTCTTTAGTAGAAGACAATTTTGGAAATTCACAAATATGTGGAAATTAAATAATACACTGTTGAAATAACTGTCAAAAAAAGAGACCCACATGGGAATTCAAAAGCATTTCGAACTGAGGGGGAAAGAAAATGTCATGGGCCCGGTGCCTTAACCTAGTAGCTAAAGTCCTCGCCTTGCACGTGCTAGGATCCCATATGGGCACTGGTTCTAATCCCGGTGGCCCCACTTCCCATCCAGCTCCCCTGCCTGTGTCCTGGGAAAGCAGTCAAGGATGGCCCAAAGCCTTGGGACTCTACACCTGCATAGAAGACGCGGAAGAAGCTCTGAGCTCCTGGCTTCAGACTGGTGCAGCTCTGGCCATTGCAGCCACCTGGGGAGTGAACCATCAGATGGAAGATCTTCCTCTCAAGTCTCTCCTCCTCTCTGTATATCTGACTTTCCAACAAAAATAAATAATCTTAGGAAAAAAAAAACCAATATCATGATCAGTGAGATGCTGCTTAATCAGTACTTGGGAAAAATCCAATCGCTGTAACTAGACAAGAACAGGTTTCCAATTGGTAACTGCAGCTCACATTCCAGAACCAGAAAAATTGAGCTAAACCCCAAGCACGCAGCAGACACTACGGAATAAATACCTGAGGGCAAAGAAAATCATGAAATCAAAAGCCAATTCTTGGAGAGAAATGGATAAAACTGATAAACCACTAGTCAGCCTGGGAAAAATTAGGTACACATTAACAATATTATACAGGATAATGGTGATGTCATCAGCTATTAAGTTATTATTAAAGATTTAGAGATATTAAAGGAATAGGAAATATGGCAGAACTTTATGAAGACAATTTACCAATTTGGGTTAAATGGACAGATTCCTAGGAAGACATAAACCACTAAAGCTTAATGAAGAAGAAAAAGACAATTTGAATAGTCCCATGAACTACTAGTAAAGAAAGAAAAATGTTATTAAAATCTTCCCACAAAAAAGCTGGCAATCCTACATAATATTTCAAGAAGAGATGAACTCCCCCAGAAACCTCAAGACAGAATCATTTCCAGTATATTTCATGAGACCTGCATTACTCTGATACTGAAACCTGGCAAAGCCATTATTTAAAAAAATAAAATCACAGCCTAGTATCACTCACATAAATATTGAAGCAAAACTTCCAAACAAAATCTTGGGAAATGAAATTAACAGTATATGTAATAATGCAAAAAACTGAAATACATGAGCATACAAGTGAACTTGAAAAAATTCAAAGCTACGCACGGCACTCCTGCTCACCCAAGAACACAATCTGAGTGCTTCCCCAAACACCTGGAAACCTGTAACGGAGGAAATGTGGGCACCCTCAATCCGTGCCTTTCCCAATCCTGGAGGGCAACACATGCCATTGTTTTTCACTAAAACTATGATTTTTGGAATGTTACAAATCAATAAAAATTTCTTTGCCACGTTCTCAGAACATAGGCATCAATTATTATATGCTACAGATCCTCCACTGGTATACTTTCTTAACGGATTCCAACAAGTAGTATATTAACTTATACTAAGTCCAGCTGGTCAGGAAAAGCCGGGCCCCTCTTCTGTCAGTAATGACATTTAGTACTAACCCAGAGTTTTGTGAAAGCCTCTACCTCATAGGTCATGACCACACTAAGCAGAAGAAATATAGACAGGCTTTATCTGTCCCCTCATTAAATTGGTCTGGCCGATCCAGCATATACATCACCTCTGTTCACAAAGTACCATTTCATTTTAAGGCTCTCTCAGTAAGCAAAGGGTACATTAAACTTACCAATGGCCTTAATTGATTCTCCTGGAAACAGTGGTGCTTCCTCCATCTGGGCCAGTTTATTTCCATCCCTCAGAGCCTGGCAAAAAAAAAAGGGGGCGGGGGGAGTAAATCTCCTTTTCCATCGTATACCTGAGAAATTCTGGTATTCTGTGCTCTTGACTTCAGGCTACAAAAGCGTGCAAAATGTATGCTCTCCCCTTTTAAAAAGTCCAGTTCAAAGCTCAGCATCACAGGACACCATGCTGCAGAATCTAGCAGACTGCTACAACACACTTAAATTCCACGGTTAGAAAGCATTAATACAAAAATGGCTTGACATGACATGTACCGCCAGCGCCACATAGCCAGCCATTATAAGACGCCTCCAAAATTTGGAAATAAGGCCAGAGAAAGGTTATCTTCTGAGCACAAAACTAATACAAATTAAGAGATATACCTGCTTAGCTAGCTATAGAAATAACTAACCTAAGAGATAGTTCAGGCAATGCTAACATCTAATTCAAATAAGCTGGGAATGGTCTCAGTGCAAAATGTAATCGCCAGGCTTAAGGCTGCAGTCAAGTGTGCATGTGTGCGTGAGTGACTGTGTGTGCAGTGTATGGCAAGGGACACGCAGAGTGCAACGGTTAGCGTCTGCCCGACCCAGTGCCCGACCCAGGCCCTGAGCGTGTGCTCTCATCTCACGGACAAGAGGACAGACCCAACACATCCTGCGTGCCAACACGATGCCACAAGAGGAAAATTCTACACCTGACCTAATCAAACAGGTTCAAATACAGGTACATTAAATAAACTGTCTAAAATGTCCTCTAGGCTGTATGTATGAGGTACAGGAAACATAAATGAATGCTTTGTTTAAACTTGGGCTCCATTTCCACAATTCATTATATATGAAAAAATATTCCAAAATAAGGAAAATCCTAAATCCAAAACATTTCTGATCCCAAGCACTTCAGTTAGGGATCCTCAGCCTGCACTGCATATTTGAGTGTGGAAAAAGGTGTGTTTATCAGGCATCTTCCAAGCCAATTTGCACTAACATCATGTTCACCAAGAAAATTGCTTATGACTTACTAGGTTTCCAGGTTACAATGATGCTAGCAAAAGGTTCCCTTGTATGGCTCAAAAGATACATGTCCACCTTTCTAAATAATCAGGTTGGCACTGTGGCCCAGAACCAGTCTCTTGCAAGCTTGGTTAGAAACTGCTAGACAACTCAAGGAAGTGAGAAAACCATGTTCTTGATTACAAAGCCTGAACTCAAGCCCTATTCCGGAATATTGCCATCCTGTGAGATACTGCCATCCTGTGAGATATCGCCATCCTGTGAGATATCGCCATCCTGTGAGATACTGCCAAGGAAACCAGTCACTTTGACCTTGGCATTTCTGACATAATGTGTCATGAATGCGAATAAGGTGATGAAAAGCCCAACAACTGCCAAACCATGTTCTGTAAAGCATTAATTCCAGAAGAGGTGTTTTTAATTCTGGAAATGATGGTTAAAGTTGCGCCGTTTTTCTTAATCCTATTTTTTTTAAGTGAGGAAAGTCTTTAGTGTGTAATGTATACCAAATCAGCAACAGGCCAATACTGAATAATGCACTTCTCATGCCAATTTGATCATGGACTGCTTTTTCCCAGAACATGTTAACACCGGGAGGCCACTAGCACACAGCAGAAAAATGGACTGGACCATCTACCCCCTCCTCCTCATCAAAGTCATACAGATTCCAACTCGGAATCACCTCCCAACACTTTGCTAAGCTTGAATGCTTAGTCCAGATTGCAGCTTACATTTCTCAAGCCAGTCTTCAGAGAGTTAATATATTAAAGGGAACATGAAGAACCAGGTTATGACTGTTATACTCACATTCGATTTGGAAATATGTCATCTATGCAATAAAGCATAAAACAAAATACGTATTTTTCACTGTTAGGTTTCACAAACATTAAAAGGCCAGAAATCTTAACAGAATTCTTAAGTCATTTTTTAATTTGTTGCCTGTACTAGTGACTGACTTTATACCAGTTACAAAATGTGAGAAGTTTAAATTATTTTAAATATCTATATTGTGAAGCTTTACATTAATAGAATAGGTCACATAGACTTAATTCCTTTATTGCAAATAAGTGGGGGTATATTAGTTTGAAATATATTTACTAAAGCAGATGTTTTTAATCAACCGAATCTAGAAGGAAGTAGGAAAGACATAATTCCATTTAAGTTTTAGAGCAAACCATATTAAAGATTTTTAAAATCTTCAGCTTTGGACTACATAACAAAATATTGCAGGTTGGGACACAGAGCTGAGAAGTGTGCAAGGTTCTCAGGGCAGAGGCTGAAGATGAAGCTCTCCTTTATCCCCGCAGCCCATCCAGGCTGCCCCAGGTGTGAACGTGGTTACAAGGCACAGGGAGAGAAATTTCTCACTAGTAAGAATTAAATCTGAGACATGCTTTTTGCTGACAAGAAAGGCAATCACGAGCACAGAACAAGGAAGCCATCCCACAGCTTCAGATCTCCTGACCCAGGTTCCTTCTGCAGAAGGAGCACATGCAAGTTCAGCAGAGGGATTCAAGAGTATAATTTTTAAAGGCTCTTATTTTTGGTGAGCACAGCTGACTCCCTTCATAAAGCTGGTGTTAGGAGACGGAACTTGCATCTGTGCTAAATTAAAATTTTACTGCATCTTCGGGTTGCACAGGACATGATTTGGCCTTGGATTTATCCAACCCATATGTATCACAAAGCATAGAATATTCTTGAAAACTAAATTTGATTGTATAAACATGCTCACTGCTCTTTAATGGCTTTGCTCCAATCCGAGCAACCTGAGGAAGTCCTCTGGCCCAGCAGCCCTGAAGGTCCAGCTGAGCTCTGGAAGCCCAACTGGCTTGCTGAGGCCCGAACTCACCTCAGTGGTAGCCCTGGCCTCTCCACCGTTTTTCTGCTCAGTCTCAAGCCAAGCTGCCACGTGGACAGTTCAATGTAATGCTGCACATGAAAGCAACAGTTTTCAAATCAGATGCTTCTAGATGCTGTCAGGGTTCCAAGGAGGACAGAGGTACAGATGAGCGCCAGCAGTTTGTCATGTGTCCCCGGACATGTATTTCTATCAGTCTCACATATGAGAACACTTAAACATTTGTGGGAAATGAAATAAGAAGAAATGTTTACTATGTTTCGAAAAAATTGAAATCATGTATATGTCAAATCTTCAAGAAGTTCAAGGAAAAGGCACACAGCAAAAGACTATGCATGCATTCCCCCCCCCAACTAAAATAAACTTATTTTAAAAATTTGGGAGGGGGGTCAGCAGCATGGTGTAGTAGGATAAGCCCATACATGCACCAATTCATGTCCTGGCTGCTCCACTTGCCACCCTGTTCACATCCTGGGAAAGCAGCAGACGATGGCTCAAGCCCTTGGGCCGCTGCACCCGTGTGGGAGGCACAGAAGCTCCTGGTTCTGGATCAGCTCTATTGGTCCATGTGGTAATGAATCAGTGGATGGAACAACTTTTCTTTCTGCCTCTCCTGTCTGTAACTCAGCCTTTCAAATAGAAATATTATATTTTATAATTATATTACATTGTTATATTATATGCACATACAATCTATTTCCAAAGCACAGATCTTCACTCCGCAAAGGCCTCTGAGAGCGAGGACTGCGCCAGATGCAAGTCAGCAGCCTGCAACTCATGTCAGTAGCTGCGACTTCCACCTCCTCCCATGCAGTACATTAGCAGGAAGCTGGATCAGAAGCAGAGGACCCAGTACAGGGACCACGTACTTGGATATGGGATGCTGTAGCAACTTAGCCACTGCACCAAGTGCTCACCCCTAAACATTTTCTTTTTTTTTAATTGTTTTTATTGAAAAGGCAGATCAGATTTACAGAGAAAAGGAGAGACTGAAAGGTTGATTCACTCCCCAAAATGACACCAATGGCCAGAGCTGAGCCAATCCGAAGCCAGGAACCAGGAGCTTCTTCCGGGTCTCCCAGGCAGGTGTAGGGTCCCAAGGCTTTGGACATCCTCCATTGCTTTCTGAGCAGGGAGCTGGGCCATTTCCCAGGCCATTGCTTTCACAAGCAGGGAGCAGGATGGGAGTAGAACAGCTGGGATATGAACTAGTGCCCACGTGGCATTCTAGCACTTGCAAGATGAGAATTTAGCCATTGAGCTATCATACCAGGCCCTCACCCCTAAACTTTTGATTCCATTTTCCATTAACTTCTTGAAAAATCCTTACACTGAGCTTCTATATTAGTGGGAAAAGTACTCCTGCTTTAAAAGACTCCATAAAGGTTTTGGAGATACTGAGCAAGTAGTTAAGTACTCACAAATATTCCAGGAATAACTTTATATTCTGATTGCAATAAAATACAGGTATCCACTCTAATGTACACTCAAGGTACCATGGGAATCTGAATAACGTAAAGCCCACGCGTCCAGGAACACCCAAAGTATGAACATGTGTTCCTTCCAACACTGCAAGTACTTTAAAGTCACTTCCAGACCCTGCAACGACCGAGGGCAATTTTCCTCGTCAATAACCCGCTTGGGCAAAGCAAGCACAATATTTCTAGTAGAAAAAATGTTGGATAAACCAATTTTTGCAAAGAATGTCATCATGGAATCTACCAAATTTGAACAGAAAGACACTACCATAGTGGGAGAACATTTAGAAAGCTCTGCTTATTGTCTAAAAATCTAGTATGAAATGGCTTCTAAGTACAAAATCTAGCTACAAACAGATGAGCATGTAGCACTTGCCCCCGATCAGCTTCGGCTTCAGCAGGGTAGCCACTGTGCTCTCCCTGTAGCTCCTGCACAGCACCAGGTGCATGGACAAGAAAAGGCAAAGAAGAGAAAGAGAAACGGGTGTAAACAGGTGAAAGCACAGAATTTCTTTTTGAAAGAGACAGTGAGCACATAAAAGTTGACACATCTTTCATGGCTTTGTAAATCACAACATTTTCCCCTATGGAGTTTAAGGAAATCATGTGTGGGACATCTATACCACCTCTGGCCTAAAGTGGAGAATCTGTTCTGTGTTTATGTCGGAACA